GCATTATTGTCATATTATTATGTTATAATAACGCGTGTAGACAAACTACAAGTCCCCGCGGTGGCATTATATTATAATATTATTATTATAGTGACAGCTGTAAACCGTAAATACTTTTATTTTGATGTCTGTTTATTATAAACATATAATAATACGAACAGGAAGAATGTCGTTGATTTTATAACCGTTTTTTTTTTTAAATTTTGAAACTAATAAAAGAGTATAATATATATATAGGTATAGCCGTATAGGTAAAACAAATAACTATACATATTATCATATCATGACAAACCCCTTCGCGGATGATCGGACCGACAACATACCGTGACGAGGACGACGACGATAACGACGACGATCAGTGATCACTTGACCAAATCCACGTTTTAATTTCGTATTGTACACCTATATGTGAATTGTGTATAATACAAAAATATATATGTGTGTAACCGGTCTCAGGATATCCTGAATCCGTGCCGGAAACGCGAAAAACCACAAGTTCCTCTGACCTACACGTCCAGATTATTGTCCCCGTCGCATACGACGTATTATACCTAGCTACGACCATCAGTACTGTGAAATCCGGAAGTCGGAACCGACCTATAGGGCCGTAAGACTATATAATATTATAATAGCTAATAATTGTTCCGCGGACACGGCGGCGTTACGGTGTGCTGCGCCGGCGACCGCAATTGAAACGACACACGAACGTATTTGTTTACTGTATTATAATAATATTATTATTATCGGGTGGGGCTAATTTCCTCAGAAAAAAAAGAAATACTAGAAGTACATTCCATGATTTTCCTCCACGAAAGTGTTTTGGATTTGAATCTTGTATATTTGCTTGAAAATATTAAATCATACTAAACCTTACAAAATAAAATGATTGTGCTTAAAACATTGTATATTCCCCGGTGTTTCGTCTATATTTTAGACGTCACCGACGTCTTCTTAATAATAACTGTTGCGAACTTTTAAAGAACAATTAAGTGTTCTTTCTTAAAAGTATTATGTACGGATGCTACATCGAGTATGACACTAACAAGTTGATAAACTAACGTAACTTTAACTGAGCATAATTTATTAATAAATATACGTACACACGGGCACATACATTTGTTATATTTTTATCGAATTTATTGCATAAAAGTTTCAACATCCAACATTTTTTTAAAAATCAACTTTTCAAAATAGCTATAGTGAATATTACAAAAGTTATTTGACTTTATTCCATATCTATGTTATACATTTTTGTTACACCAGATAATGTATTTCCTTTAAACAGGTTGGGTTTAAATAATGATTGCTTGGTACAGGCAATGACTAATAAATAATAAAAAAAACAGTGAGTGTTGTTGAACACTCGGCAGGAACGAAGTTCAGTGCATGTGATGCGAGACGCGGAAACATATATGGTTAGAAAAATATAAATAAATAGTGATAGAGAGAGAGAGAGACAGAGAGAGAAATGAATGCTTGTATAAATATATCGCGCGCATGGTAATAAAATTATAATAAATTTTTTCTGAGTATTATGAAAAAATGGTATTTTAATCATTATAAAAGTACAAAGCAATTATGAAATTAATCAGTAGGTCTAACGCGTCGACTGCGGCGCTGGCAGTCGCGGGTTCGCCTCTCGACCACTGGGCGGCATTTTTCTCCGGGCAAGTCACGGTGTCCGGAGTACAAGTGCCGCCATCCCCCAACCCGGGGCATGGCAGAAACCTACGGGTGCCCCAATAAAAATTCTGCCACCACAAACACACACGTGTACCAACCTACCCAATCTAAAAACCTACAGTTCCCTCCCAACACCCAATGGCCTATGTTGCCGCGGGTTATCCAATAAAAAGAAAAAAAAAAAAAACCTATTGATGGTTAAGTCAATTCTACTGAAAGAAATTTTAATAATGATACGGTTGATACAGCTTGTACTCGATTATCGTTTTTCAAAAGTAAATTTTAATTTCATTTGTTTAATAGATTTGTATGTATATAGAGAAGAAGGTAAATGGAAATCACAATGGAATTTATAAATTTATAAATTTAAGGGGCAAAAATTATTTCGAAAATAAAATTCTTATCACTTTCCTTATCAATAAAAACAATATTTATGAAAATCCCATCAAAAACTCAAAACCCCGAGTTTCCCCTTGGCGAGGTGGGTGTTAGTACTCTCCCGGACCAAAATCCATCAAAAAAGCAAAATCCAAAAAGGGGGGGAGGAGGTGCCCCCGTTCCCTAAAGCGGAAAACTGTAGTCTTCATAATAAGAATGGGTTCCCCCTTGGTCCGAGGTCTTTAACTTGAATTCCGGCCGAGTTACACTCAACTCAAAATGTGGGGGGGGGTGGGGGCTTTGGTTCCCTAATGTTGAAAATTCATCTGGGGCCTAAAAAATTGAGATGCCCATTGGTCCAGGGTCTCTAAGTCGAATACCGGCTAAGTTATGCTTCGTCAAAAATAATTACTCGTTTAATGGGTCCCCCCCCCATTCCGCCCGACGGTCACCTCTACGCGCGTGACGACCGATGTTGGGTAGCCTACGCGAATGGAACCCGGTTGCCAGATGGTACGATCCTAGTGGGGACATACGATAATATGAGAGGAGGGAGGGGATATGTAAGCCGGCAGCCGAGCAGAGCCGAGCCGAGCCGAGCAATTTTTCAGTGTTACGCTTTTCGGTGTTACGCTTTTTGGTGTTGCGATTTTTGGTGTTGCGATTTTTTTCCAGCGACTCCCATCCACCTAACGCCCCATAAGGAACTTCGTTCCAAAAATAACTAATGAGTTATATCAAAAAAAATACGATACCAATTACAATAATTATTGGTAGACATTTATTTTTAGTGAAATTCACAGTTAAAGGAATGCCAATTTGACATATTGAAATTTACCCTGTTATAAACTATATGTATAGGTACCTATTTAATCTTTATAAACAATAATATTGGGTTTACTGTGGTTTTATATATGTCTTACATCACTCGTGAGAGGAATTTTGGGGAGGGGGAGGGTAGCAAAATAATTTTGATCCCGGGCTAAAATACTATTATACAATAGGTTCCTATTTATTATTGTATCATGGCTCGGAGCTTCTGATATTATCTTTATATATAACATAGTATTATATTATATTACACGCGCATTACAAATTATTTTTGTTGTTTCGTATGAAATAGTTCTTGGACGGGTGTATGCGACTATAACTGTAACTGTAGTAGTACACTGTTTATATTATAATAAATTGTGTGGGCGACGACTTTGTGCTACTCAGCGGCTCCGAGGGGAAGAGCACGGTTTAGGTGTTGTGGTCACGAAAGAACGGTCCGCGAGTTTCCTTTTAGCCTAATTGAACTGCAACAGGGCCGGACGATGAGGCGGCAGGTCTGAAATGGACACATGTAGTTCTTATCATTATTGCGTGTTTTTAGATAGTTTCGAATTAATACAGACATGACGATGGTGCCCTCGTTATTTCCGGTAATATACGCCGCCGCGAGGTGACACGTCCCCTCGAAGGTCTATAACAATGAAGCATAACTATATGAGCTTACTGCCGGAATCGATTTCTATCACAATTAATAGTACCTACGCCGTAGTAAGTCAGCGTGGACGAATATGACGACATATGCATACTGCAGTTATTAATATCGAAAATTGTAATAGTTAAAAAAAAACCTGCAGTTAGGTATTAAGACTTATGCCGAGTTGCACAAAAGATTTAGTGGTCCACGATTAGTCCATTAAATTTAGTAAATTGTTTATGCAACCCAGCATCAGACGTTATACTTGGGTATATTGATCTCACCGATTAGAAACTCAAATAACAATAATATTATATTATTATGATTAAAAATGTGTAATTATTACTGTATTGGGTATTTAATATTTTACCAAAATGTTACCAGTTAGTAGTATGAAAATGTATGTTCTGAAGCATGATCCCTTGATCCCGAGATCCTTGATCCTTGATGTATGATTCCGAGATCCTTGATCCTTGATTCCGAGACTCTTGATCCTTGATTGCGTACGTGTGTGACGTATATTTACCCTCCACCTGAACCCGTATCACGTGACCAATATATATATATATTTTGTATATTTACCCCACCTCCCGCCTCCTCTGATCCGCCGCCGATGATTGCGTACGTGTGTGACGTATATTTACCCCTCCACCTGAACCCGTATCACGTGACCAATATATATATATTTACCCCTATTTACCCCTCCACCTGAACCCGTATCACGTGACCGATACATATTAACCCCCCACCTCCCTTCCGATCCGTTATGTGAGCAACATATATTTAATATTATTATAAATATTATCAGTTATCAATACACATTTATCCTGTAGACTCTTAGATATTATACTCAACAACAAATTAAAATACCTATTAGTGAATAACACACAATGAAATCAAACTTCCCACGAAATGTTATCATGCCTGTTAATGAATAACACATTAATAATCAATCTATACTAAAAAATATCATAATCGCTTAACAACGACAAATACCTATTAGTGAATAATACACAATGAAATCAGAACCTTCCCACGAAATGTTATCATACCTTTAAAAAATCTCAAGACACTGTATCGGGCAATATAATTTTTTAAATAATTATAAATAATAACAAAATATTATCATGTATTTTGTACCTACCTATATCGCTTAACAACGACAAATTAAAATACCTATTAGTGAATAATACACGATGAACCAAACTTCCCACGAAATGTTATCATACCTTTAAAAAATCTCAAGACACTGTATCGGGCAATGATATAGAATCAGTCTGTTCTAGATATTTATACCTGTACGTACAACGTTTTATGTGTTACGCTCCGTGTTTTTAAAGTCTCCAAACAATTATTTTACCGTTTACATTTGTCTACTATTATTTTACATTTACCACTACGTGTTTTTTCACAGTGTTTAATTTTTAAACATTAAATTATATTTTTCGTTTTTTCCTTAAACAAACTCAATATGTTTAAATGCAATCAATGTTCATCGGTTTTCACAGCGAAACATAATTTGAAAATCCATCAAAAGAAACATGTAGGTCTGCGGTTCTCGTGTACCTTTTGTCCATCGACATTCTCTTATAAGACCGGTCTCAACAAACATAAAAAGAACTTTCATGGTATGTATTAATAAGATGTTATTTTTCTATTCATTCAATATTAATTTATATCTAATATATTTATTTTTCATAAGGTGTAGTTAACGTATCCGCTCATCAACCCGCTCAACCGATTGCTACACCGATTGTTAGAGAGAGCGTTATAAAGTACGCGCCACCAGCTATTCCACCTCAGGGGAGTATCCAGATTGCACCTCAAATTTTTGTTCCCGATACACCAGCTAGTGGTTCGAATACATCGACTGACATTTCTCTATCTGATGATGATATTTGTATGACAGCTATGGACGAATATGAAAATGAAGAAGTTCAAGACGCTAATACAGGTTAGTTTTATTTTATAGATGAAATATAATTTTTAAAGATTCGTATAAATCATAAGTTTAATTTTATTTATTTTAAAATATAAAGTTTCATTTTAAACTTATCAAGTGGTCTGTGAAACGATCAATGGTATAATAGTTGGAGTATTCCGGCATTGTATCGATCATTTCACTTGTCGCATCCTATTGGGGTAATAGTTGGAGTATTCTGGCATTGCACCGGTTGTCAGATCGTTTGATAGGTTTATTTATAATTTTTTAACACGATTCTTTAGATTTATTTTCAATAGATATTAATTAGGCTTTTTATTTTTTAAAGATTCTTATATAACTATTGGGGATAACGGTAAACGCATTTCAACCGCGAATACTGAATCAGCTGCTAAGGCGAAAAAGGTGCGGATGAATATCGTCAGGACCCTTGGGTTCGTAGAAATATCATCGTCTGCGAACCGAAAAATAGTTTGGTACTATGCTAGAAATATAGGGGGGGTAGTGAACTATATAGACTTTATTCACTCACTCGAGCCTGAACTAAATCAACTATTAAAAACGCGTGCTCAACAAGGAGCTATTAAGTTTAATCTTAAACTCGAGGCTACCTATAATCGCCCCAACGTAGTAAACTCGTCAGAGAACCGGGCGTTTAAAACATCGGCGGTCGAAATGTTTGCAGAAAGTAACATTAGTGACATTATAAAGAGAGCGTTTGTTAATTTGTTGAACGAGAAAAATGAGTACAGCGGGAGAGGCAGCGGTTTTACCATGGAGTCAATAGATGGACTTTTACTCAGTGTATATAAATATACGCCAATGAGTGGTTCGTCGTATATACAATTACCGAAGTTCATTGAATGGAAACGGGCTACCATAAATCCGCAGAATGTTGACCAACAGTGTTTTAAGTGGGCGATTCTCGCAAAACATGTAACGGGGGCGGGGATATTTCGTATTGGAGAAAATTATAAACAGTATGAGAGCATATATAATTTTAAAGGTATCACGTTCCCGACACCTATATCAGATATTCATAAATTCGAAGAAAACAACTCAAAAGTGTCTGTAAATGTTTACGGACTCGAAAAGAAGTTTCAACCACCGAAGAAATATCCGACTTATGAGGTATACCCATTACGTGTAGTCGATGAAGAAAAGGCTAACCATTTTGACCTGTTGTTGGTAAAGGATAAAGACAACTCTCATTATGTGTATATATCGAACTTTTCCCGTCTCATTCGCGCGCAGAAAACTAGACATACAGAGAGAGTTGTGTTCTGTAAGAGATGTTTTACGTCATTCGACAGTCGAAGTTTGAAATTCAAGTTAGGTGGTCAAGCAGGACTGGAGCAGCATAAGCTGATTTGTGGGGGACACAAACCGATACGGCCGGACATGCCAAAAGAGGGGGATTGCCTTGAATTCAAGTTATGGAAAAATACGGTTAGACACCCATTTGTTATATATGCGGATTTTGAATCTTTGTTGGAAAAAACTGATGAGAGTATGGGGAAAAACACGAAAATAATTCAAAAACATGAGGCGATGAGCTATGGATATTTGGTGAAGGCGAGTGCGAACGTACCGGTGGAACTTTTGGAGGAGTACGAGATACCGACAGGACCGGTATTATACAGAGGAGACAAGGACCGTAAGGACGTGGCGAGGCACTTTGTAGAAGCGATAGTTGAAGTGAGCCGAAAAATCGAAAATTTGATGAAGACGAATATACCTTTGACTATGACTAAAAACCAAGAAAAAACACATCAAGTGTGTACCGAGTGTAATCTGTGTAAATGTAGTTTAGCCGGAGGCGATAAAGTTATGGATCACGATCATCTGACGGGCAAATTTAGACAAACTTTGTGCTCGAAGTGTAACTTAGGGTTACAACAACCTAAATTTGTCCCCATATTTTTCCATAACTTATCTAACTACGACTCACACTTTATAATTACCGAACTTGGATATGATACCGAGTCTATATCAGTTATCCCGAACAGTGAGGAAAAATTTATATCGTTTTCAAAATATATTAGTAGTACCTTCACTGTTCGCTTTATCGATACATTCAGGTTCATGGCATCGAGTTTATCGTCTCTGGCTAAAAACTTAATAACACCAGGCCTTGAGAACTTCCGTGAGACAGCGAAACATTTTATCGTCGGAGATATGCCACTCGTAACGCGGAAGGGAGTATACCCGTATGAGTACACTGATAGTTGGAACAAGTTGAACGATAAGGTACTACCACGAAAGAGAGAATTTTATAGTACATTGACCGAGTCAGGAATTAAGGAGTCAGAATTTGAACACGCAAAGGAGGTCTGGGACCACTTTGGATGTAACACGTTGGGTGAGTATTCAGATTTATATTTGAAAATCGATGTGTTGCTGTTGGCGGATGTTTTTGAAAACTTCCGTGATCTATGTATGTCAACATACAATTTGGACGCAGCACACTACTTCACCGCACCCGGGTTAAGTTTTGACGCTATGTTGAAGTTTACAGGTCAAAAGTTAGCGTTGTTGTCTGATTACAATATGTTGTTAATGTTTGAGAATGGTTAGTATATCAATATTATTTAAAAAAATATATAATAATAATCTCTGTATATATATATTTTGTATAGGTATTCGTGGTGGATTGGTGCAGGCGTGTATGCGGCACGCGAAGGCGAACAATGTGAAGACACCGGGTTATGACAAGACTAAGGAGAAATCGTGGATTATATATCAGGATTGTAAGAATATATTTAATTTTTAATTTTTTCAAACTTTTTAATCTTTTTTATACTTTATAGGTAACAACTTGTACGGGTGGGCAATGTCAGAGTACATGCCGTACGGTGGGTTCAACTGGGTTGAACCCAGTTTAGATGGATTGAATGAGATGAAGGCGAAATCTGGTAAAGGACGAGTGTATGAGATAGATGTAACGTATCCACAACATTTGCATGATAAGCATAATGACCTCCCTTTCCTACCGCAAAATAGTATACCGCGTGGATCTAAAGTACGGAAACTGATGACAACGTTTGATAAGAAGAAAAATTACATCATTCATTATAGAAACCTACAGCAGGCTATAGAGAATGGTTTAATAGTTGAAAAGGTAAATATTTATATTTTATAAGATTTTTAACTATTTTTAACATTTTTTTTATATATATATATATATAGGTACATAGAGTTTTAGAGTTCGATCAGTCGGATTGGTTGTCAAAATATATTAACCTGAATACAGAGATGAGGAAGAAGGCGAAAAATGAGTTTGAAAAAGATTTTTTTAAATTAATGAACAATGCAGTATTTGGTATGTTACTTTATTTATTTAATTTAATTATTTTACCAACAGTTTTTTTAATTTTCTAGGGAAAACTATGCAATCGAAAAGGAAGGAAATGAAGATGGAGTTAGTGTCATGTGAGACACGATTACAAAAACTTATTAATAAAACGACATTTAAGCATGTGACTAGCTATAGTGAAAACCTGAACGCGGTCGCACTGGAAAACAAGATCATTACTTTTGACAAACCTATATATATTGGTAAATATACTTTAAATTTAAGTATTATACAATTATTATATTAACACATTTATTTTTATTTAGGATTTGCTGTACTTGATATTTCCAAGACGATGATGTACGATTATCATTATAATGTTATGAAGAAACATTATAATGATAATATCGAGCTTATGTATACTGATACTGGTAAATATATTAAAACTAACCTCTTGTATATATATATATAATATAATAATTAATATCATTATTACAGATTCATTGATATACCTTATTAAAACCGACGACTTCTATAAAGACTTACTTGACAACTCTAACTTGTTGAATAGAGTAGACACATCTGACTTGTCTCCTAGTCATCCGTGCTACACCACAGTGAGGAGGAAGGTCCCTGGGTTCTTCTCCGACGAAGTTAACGGGCATATAATTACAGAGTTCTGCGGGTTAAGGGCTAAATCATATGCGTATAACATATATGCAGGAGAAGAGGATGCGGTGAGAGATAAGGATAAAGTTGGTGGTGAAAAGATCAAGGCTAAGGGGATAAGGCAACATGTGGTTAAAAACCATATGACGTTGGAGGAACATAAAAGGTGTTTGTTTGGAGAAGCTGGAGTGGAGGCATATCAAGAAAATGTATCAATCAGATCGTTCAAACACCAAATTATGACTATAAAAACGAAAAAGTTGACATACAACAATTACGATGATAAGCGAGTGGTATTGGTCGATAAAATCCATACCTTAGCTCATGGACATTACAGTATAGAGTAAGTTATTAAAACTGTCTACTTTTCAAATTATTTTACTTTTAATTTTTATAGGGAATATGAACCTGGAGAAACTATGGAGTGGTCAGAACTTGATTTTGAGGTTGATGGCGAAGGACGTAAATGGTCAGATTTTGATAAAAGTTTTATGACAGAGTTTCTTAAGTACAATACTAAATAATCCTACCAGTTATTTTTAAAATATTATATATATATATATTCAATTTGTAAACATCACTGTAGAAATTATTAAGAATAATTAATGCAAAAGCCATATAAGTACCTATATATATATATATATTTATATTTGTTTATTGTGCACTTTTTTTTTTTTCCTGTATAAATGTTTCAGATAGGAATCGTTGTGTTTAATTGAAATATAAAAAAGCAATGTTATCGTATAATATTATTATGTTTATTACGAATTATTTATATACCATTTTCTTATAGCAAATACTTTATAGAATGTACATTGTTTTGGATTAAATTCCATATGGAAAATACAGCAAGGTAGAGTTTCTTCATCACATATTTGATCTAAACGTGGACATCCAAGGTCTTCAATGTTGATGAGTGCGATGTGAGGTATAAACTCCATAAGAAGTTGCTTTTTCTGTTCGCCTTTGACATAAATACAGGTGAACTTTATTGAATTCAATATTCTACTTAGTTCTTCATACTCGACATCACCATATTCTATAGATAGTTTATGAAAGTTACGTTCTAACCACTTATTAGTTCTTCGACTCTTGTTGTCCTGCATAGAATTCGAATTTTTGAAAATCCAGTGTTGAGTTGACCATGTTTCAGTGTCGACTATGGACATTTCTTTAATAAAATATTTATTGTTTGCTCCAAGAACGCATTGAATGTCTATGATAGCCGACGACATTATGTTTTGTTTTTATAACAAGTTTCTTCGACAGTATTGATACGATTTATTAAACCAGCAAATACTTTTTTCAACCCGTCAGTATTTTCTCTAATATTATTTAATGAAGCTTCAATTTTACTCATACGTTCCACTATATCTAAGCACGTTAATTGTAGCGTTTCTGTTTGTTCTTCCTGTACATGAATGGATTTGTAATTTTCTTCAAGTAGATGCTCGAATTTATCAAATTTATATGTATAAGTTTTGAAAGACTGTTCGATATTTGTAATAATGTTTTTAGTATCACCAGCTTGTGAACTACCAAACACGTTCATAGCTAAAGTATGACTGACACTATTTTTTAACATCACGCGTATTTATCCAACTATTATGTGTATTATCAAATCCTAACCACTTAACATACATTTGTTTCCCCTTCCGGCGTATAATTTTTTCAATCAAATATTCATTGGGGAAATTAGTTTTGTATACTTCTTCAGAGTAAAAACAACCAGCTATAGGTTTACCCATATAATCCTGTAATTGATAAGTAACGGGTAATGTTTTATTTATTTTGATAATCTCAAATATTTCTGTGGACCAGTTTGGTAAATAACTTTTTGTAAATATGGCTTTTTGTGTGGATATTCGAACATTATCACCGACTTTGAATTTAATTTTTACATCATTAATATGACGTTTTTTTATTATCACCGAAGCGGGGTTGGAATCTGCTTGTATTGGTGTCATTCCTATAGTTCTATGGTATGAATTATTGTAATCGTCAAGTAACTTTGGTAAAATTGAAACCCATTCGTGTGACCCTCTCGCAGTGAACTCCTTATACATTTTCCCCTTCAAAGTACGATTGAACCTCTCTGCTATGCTGGCCTTTAGAATACTGAAAGTTGAATATTTGTGTATGCCATACTTAGTCATCAGAGCGTTGAAAATGGTGTTATAAAATTCTTTTCCGTTATCGACTTGTAAAAGTTTTGGTGAACGATCAAGTAATATTGTAGCCATGGCGTTAGTAACTTCTTTACCCGATTTACACTTTAATGGTATCGCCCAGGAGAATTTCGTAAATGCATCAATCACAACCAAAATGTATTTGTATCCACCATTTATTTTTGAATATGGTATCATTTCAACCAAGTCAGCCTGAAATAAATCATTTTTTCCATAGACGTTAACTCTACGCCTTGGGAAATTTTTCCTTGCTGGTTTGTGAAGTTCGTTAGCGATTTCCCGTTTAGACATCTGGAACTCGCTTAATTAGTCCGGCCTCGTGTAATTCATCGAAAATCGATATTATTTCGTTTGAGACACCTGTATTGCCGGCTGATTTTGACGCAAGAAGTAAACGTAATCGATCGACCAACTCGTTTGGATTATCCCAATACACTAAGTTATTTTTCTGTATTTTCATGGACAGCTCGCCACCCGAGGGAAATAATTTACTGATAACTGTTAAATATTTAGAGCTACCCTTTTTTATTTTTTTTCCGTCTGTAGTTAAATGTACCGATGTTTGAATTAATATAGATTTATATACCTCTAAATCGTTAACAGTATAAATAAGTGGATTTTTCAAAAATAATAACTGATTAAGACCCGATGTTGATGGATAAACAGTATCATCAATAAGTATAGTGTTTTCAATGAATTTTACTTCTTTATCGCCCAAGATAATATAACCGTTTGGAAGTTTTTTCGGACCATAGATTTTATCCAAGTCTGTAGACTGAAGCCAATTTTCAATTTCTTGTTGATAGTCGTCAGCAAATGAGTTTGTCGAATTGACGTTAATATTTTTTTTGATCAACGACAATCGGGGTTTATTTGATATTTTAGTTAAAGGGTCGATAATTGGTTTTAATGTCTGTGTCATTAATTGTTGAACATTATCCGACCCGGTTTTTAATGCTATATATTTACGTTTGATACTTTCTTTAGCTTTAACTAACTCATCTAAAACAGTAGTTGATTCCGTCATGACTATGTTTTAAATGAAACATTTTTATTATTTGTAGCGTCTTATATAACTACATAAGTATCAAATCCAAAACGATAACGACCGTTATCACGATCACTATCTTTACAAATAACAACAAATGTAAACCTCTCACGGTTCCAACATGTGACACAAAAATGTTTAAATTGCGTATATGTCATATCTCCCGAACAGTGTTCATTGTATACATGTTTTAAATTGGTTTCATCTTGTTTGAACAATACTATTAAATTTGCATTGTCACGTATCAACTGTTTAGGTACTTTAGAATAACTCTGAGCCAGATAAAATATATCTATTTTATTATGACGACCTCGAGAGAAATATTCTCTTATTACTTGTTGTTGTTCTCCAATAACATCATCCAAGATAAAAATTGAATTTGATAAGACTTTTTCTGGTGGAATTACTTTATCATTCTCGAAAAAAGTAAAAATGTTGATACCGTCAATACTATCAATAATACGTTTTAGTAGCTTATATTTTGGTTGTTCAAGCGTTTTAGAGTATATATAAACGTTTTCAAATCGTAAACCATTTTCATCGACTAGTAGAAAATATATAAGATTGGTTTTACCACACCCCGAGCTCCCTAGTACTAACGACCTTATCGTATTTGGGAAAAGCTCGCCGTGTCTCAACTGTATAGTATCAGGGGTATCAATGTTATAAATTCGAAGTTTTTTCACTTGCTCGATAAAGCGCATTTTTAAAAAAGAAAAATTTTCACTATAAATACAGATGCTATGTTAGCGAGAGCGTCACACGATGTCTCACGTTCGTAAGCGGAACAACAATAAAGGCTCCGGTCTTGTTAACTCTGTTATAAATCATTTACCCGTGGAATTGCATTTACCAGGCTATAGGTAGGTCACTGTACTATATGATTATTATTAAATCCTAACTAAATTATATATTTGTTATAGATTTGCTGGCCCTGGAACCAAATTGAAAGAAAGATTAGCACGTGGAGAACGTGGTATAAACAGTCTTGACGAGCTGGCCAGAGCGCACGATATTGCATACGAAAAAAGTAATTCACTAACTGATCGGCATAGAGCAGACGAAGTATTAGAAAATCAGGCTTGGGAAGTGTTTAAATCTAAAAACACAGGTATCAAGGAAAAAGCAGCGTCTTGGCTAGTTACTACAGCCATGAAGGTCAAACGTAAGATTGGAGCTGGTTGCGGATTTAAACAAATGGTTTTGGCTGCTAAAAATTCCATCAAAAATAAAATGAACGAAAATAATATAACAAAATTAGTAAGAACATGTCTGTCAGCTGCGAAAAAAAAAATCTAAAAAATCTAAAAAATCTAAAAATATGAATACTAAAACTCCAAGAATTATACCAATACCAAAAAAGGGCGGTGTTTTACCTTTAATACCTATTTTCGCTGGTTTATCTGCATTAGGTGCACTTACCGGAGGTGTTGGTAATATAGTAAAAGTCGTGAAAGAATTAAATTCTGGTAAAAACACTCCTATTCATTTAGGTAAAGGTTTATATCTAGCACCTCACAAGGGGAGTTCTTATAAAATCGTAAAAGGTAAAGGTTTATATCTAGCACCATACAAGGGCGGAGCAATTATTAAGAAATCTAGAAAATCTTCAAAAAACTAATTACCACGTTACCCGATAGAGCATTGTACGATTATGAGATTATAAAATACGGTGACATGTTGAAAATACCTCATTTCATTGGTGTATTTCCTAGAGACAGGTTGCCAAAACGTTCGAATAATCAAGAGTCGGCAGTAGTGAATTTAGACACTGAAATCGGTACAGGTACTCATTGGGTAGCGTATAAGAAAATCGGAAAACAAGTTAAATATTTTGACAGCTACGGGAACATACCCCCTCCACTAGAATTACAGAAATATTTTAACGGATGCAGTATTGAATATAATTACGAACGATATCAAAAATATAATACAATAAACTGCGGGCACTTGTGTTTAAAATTTTTATCATGTGTACTATAACTTTAACCGGTAACTCAAGCGAATTATCATGTGACTTTTTCCCACCTATAGAAGTCAGTAAAAATGCAAAAATTGGACTGTTAGGTTTTCAAACGAATAATTCTATACCTAATGTAAACGACAAGTGCGATAAACTAGGTTTCGTATATAATAATATCGATAGACGTGTAAACACTAGTTACACAATACCTACAGGCTCTTACGAGTTGAAAGAAATTGAGGCGGCAATAAAACGTTTATTACCCAAGTCAGATATTTTATTCGTGTTGAGAGCAGATAATAATACATTAAAATGTTCAATGTT